TGAGTATGACTCCATTTTGCACCAGAAATGGCCATTTACTTCCAAGAAGAAGGATCTAAGTAACTAAAGCTCAAGGTCACGAGTTTATACCTCAAGATGGTGGCCAATACAGTGTAGATGTCGGATCTATTGCTTCTCTCATTGCTCCTTCTTCTTCAAGCTCTAAAAATCCTTCATAACCCACCAAAATCACTCACAAATGCTCTTACTCTCACTCAAGGGTGTTCACGGCCGCAAACTGATTTTTGTAGGGAGATAAGGTGATAAGGGAGGTCACAAGGGCAGATAATGATCCTTAAATAGGGAGTAAACCCCGAAATTAGGGTTTTCTCTTTACAGCTCCAACTCGCCGAATTGGTCCCGATCCGCGTCCATGATTAAATGCCCCTACTCGACGAGTTGCACTCCTAACTCGCCGAGTCCATGCACCAAAACCCTGGAATTAACTAAATCAGAAAACTACCTGGAACAGGTGTTACATTGTTATTTTTAAATTTTGATAGAAAAATCGTATGAGAAGAATCTACAAAGAGTACCCGATCATTTGGACTTCGAGATGATAAAAGAGATGGTGGATATCCTTGAAATGTTTAAGACGAAAACGGAGAACGTTTCGTCTTCAACAAAACCTTTAGTCCGTCGATTAATCCAGGAAATCTTAGATGTGAACCTACATCTAAAAAAATGGTCAACAAAACCCAACTTTCTTCATGTGATACCCGACATGAAGGAAAAATACGAAAAATATTGGGGTGACTACACAAAGATGAGTGATTATGTCTACTTTGCGGTTTTGGTAGATCCTACAATGAAGTCTCAATTATTGTTGTATACTTTTAAAAAAATGATTGTTTCCAAGGACGATAAGTTATCAAAGTCGGAGATAGAATTGAAAGCATATGAAATGATTCAGGAGGTTGAGAGGAAGATTGAGAAAATTTTTAAGACCTACTTGGAAAAATACGACACGGGCGGGTCTTCTCAACAACAAAGTTCTCAACAAGTCGCTGATTGTGATGATGATAACAACACTTCCTTAATGGTGGAGGAGACAACTCGGATGCGATGGAAAATGAATTAATAATTTATTTGAAAGAGCCCCGAGTAACGTACAACAAAAGTTTTGATATCCTAAGTCGGTGGAAACTTAACGGGTTAAGGTTCCCAATAGTTGCTCGAATGACAAAAGGTATTGACTTTTTTAATATTTTATATTTCTTTTATTAATTAATGTTGTTACATTTCACAATAATTTATTTGTTAATAGATATTTTGGGGATACAAATCTCAAGTGTAGCATCGGAGTCCGTCTTTAGCACCAGTCGTAGAATTTTAACCTGACCATCGTGGTAACTTGTCGAACGTGATAGTTAAAGCTTTGTTGTGTACCCAAGATTGTGTTAAAAAAGTAGAAAACCTATAACAGACAACGTGGATGACATTTTAAATGACAATTATGTAGCTTTGGGTATTTTGTACTTTCAATTCTTGTTATACTTTCATACGAGTTTTACATTTTATTAAATTCTAACAACCTTTTTGTTTTGTGTTTTATATAGAGATTGATGAAGCTTTACACAATGACAAAGCAATTGGAAGAAGACCAATGGAGAAGTAGATGATAGTTAATTTACTTTGGTAGAAAGAATTGGAGTAAATTACACGAATCGTTCCTGGTGCAGGTGCCAAAAACTCACTCATATGAAGTCAGAATTACTTGATTTTTTTCTAGCATGTAATTTAGTGTTTGTACTTCATTTTAGACTGTAAAATAAATCATATTTTGGTTAAATATTGAATCAGGCATGGAAAGACATCATATCAATGCAACTTTTTTTGCAGTTTCAACATGTTTGTTATTTTGTCCCGATTTCTAAAATACCGTATTTTGGTATATTGAATCAGATACAAACATGGAAAAACAACATATCAATGCAACATTTTTTTTGTTTCAACATGTTTTATTTATTTATTTTGTTACAGTTTTTAAAATACGATAACTCACTCATATGAAGTCAGGATTACTTAATTTTTTTCTGTCATGTAATTTAGTGTTTTTACTTCGGTTTAGACTATAAAAAAAAATCATATTTTGGTTAAATACTGAATCAGATACAGGCCCGGAAAGACAACATATCAATGCTGCCGTTTTCATTTTATTTATATATGAAAGTTTAATTGATTGTTATTTTTAAATTTTGATAGAAAAATCGTATGAGAAGAATCTACAAAGAGTACCCGATCATTTGGACTTCGAGATGATAAAAGAGATGGTGGATATCCTTGAAATGTTTAAGACGAAAACGGAGAACGTTTCGTCTTCAACAAAACCTTTAGTCCGTCGATTAATCCAGGAAATCTTAGATGTGAACCTACATCTAAAAAAATGGTCAACAAAACCCAACTTTCTTCATGTGATACCCGACATGAAGGAAAAATACGGCAAATATTGGGGTGACTACACAAAGATGAGTGATTATGTCTACTTTGCGGTTTTGGTAGATCCTACAATGAAGTCTCAATTATTGTTGTATACTTTTAAAAAAAATGATTGTTTCCAAGGACGATAAGTTATCAAAGTCGGAGATAGAATTGAAAGCATATGAAATGATTCAGGAGGTTGAGAGGAAGATTGAGAAAATTTTTAAGACCTACTTGGAAAAATACGACACGGGCGGGTCTTCTCAACAACAAAGTTCTCAACAAGTCGTTGATTGTGATGATGATAACAACTTTTTTGGCAACTTCCTTAATGGCGGAGGTGACAACTCGGATGTGATGGAAAATGAATTAATAATTTATTTGAAAGAGCCCCGAGTGACGTACAACAAAAGTTTTGATATCCTAAGTTGGTCGAAACTTAACGGGTTAAGGTTCCCAATAGTTGCTCAAATGACAAAAGGTATTGACTTTTTTTAATATTTTATATTTCTTTTATTAATTAATGTTGTTACATTTCACAATAATTTATTTGTTAATAGATATTTTGGGGATACAAATCTCAAGTGTAGCATCGGAGTCCGTCTTTAGCACCAGTCGTAAAATTTTAACCTGACCATCGTGGTAACTTGTCGAACGTGATAGTTGAAACTTTGTTGTGTACCTAAGATTGTGTTAAAAAAAAATAGAAAACCTATAACTAACAACGTGGACGACATTTTAAATGACAATTATGTAGCTTTGGGTATTTTGTACTTTCAATTCTTGTTATACTTTTATACGAGTTTTACATTTTATTAAATTCTAACAACCTTTTTGTTTTGTGTTTTATATAGAGATTGAGGAAGCTTTACACAATGACAAAGCAATTGGAAGAAGACCAATGGAGAAGTAGATGATAGTTAGTTAATTTACTTTGGTAGAAAGAATTGGAGTAAATTACACGAATCGTTCCTCGTGTAGATGCCAAAAAGCACGTTTAGTGCATGTGACATCGTCAAATCTCACAGCCAGAAAATACCAATTTGTTTATGCTTATTTAAAATCGGAGTATCTTTTTCGAAGAATAATATTGCGGAATTTGTTCCCAAAAATATGATAAAGATATTATCAAAGAATTTCCGAAGAAATGTATTTTATTTATATTAAAAACGTTGGGATGTCATCGTCAATACAATACATAAGCATAAACGGAAATAATACAGGCCTTACAAACATATATTATTCTACTGGCCTATAATCCATAAATCTCTTAGCTGATCATCACACTTGTGCTCTCGTGTCACTACCTGTAATACAAGGAACTGAGTGAGCCAGGATTGGGAGCCTAGTGAACACATATGGTTTTCATCCCACAATAATAAATTCTTTTAATTATATATTTTCATCATATCATTCAACCTTATTACACATTCCCGTTATCCTCACTTTCTGTCCCTAAAACATCTAATTCAGGGGAACTATCCTAAGGATCATCTTCGGGATAGACAATAATGCTCAGGGGATTCCTTAGCAATATATGTCAATAAGGAAACCAGAGGGGGGGGGGGGGGGGGGATGGAGTACACTTGGTGAGCAGTTAGTTCAAAAACACCTACAGGCTGCGAGCCTGCTAGCGTTCCATTGGACTGTCTAGAATATTCCGTTGTCATCATCTATACTCCGCTAGACGACTAGGTCATCTTTAGAGTCAAGGCCTCTCATCATCTATTTCATCTTTCATCTCTCATCATCTATATCATCTTTATACTTATAGGTATAAAAATACATATACAATTTAGATCAAGTCAACATGTATAAATTGTTCATCTAGCATAGATATTAGGAACACTGATAATAGGCACATATAACATGTAGTTATCTTAAATACTTCATATCTATGGGTAAGATGAAAGTAACTATGCACTCACTTGTTAAAGTGATGACTCGAAACTCGGACAACGCTTCGCTTCTAGCAACTGACTTTTACTTTGACGTAACCTGGTATCATAATAATCTACACGAATGAAAATAGTCTAGAGCTATCAATCATTCCAATGAATATTGATATTTCTATCAGATAAGGATCAGCCAGGTAGAACAGTTGGGAGGCAGGACCATTTCGGCGTATAGTCTTTCTGAAATCCAACAACCAAGCCAACATGACCATTCTAGTCACCTCTCCCATAAGTAGATCAATTAGTATTATAACTTAGAATTAATGATAGTTCTTATTTATAAATTAATAACAATGACTATGAATTTAAATATAAATTACACTAAAATGAAATAAAGTGTAAATTAACTTACAGGGATATTCTAGACAAAAGTCCAAAAATTGCACAGGTGGAACTCCGGGCTGATAACTACTAGATGTCAGGCTCCTAGGGACCTCATAACTTGCCAAAATACCCTAAATACTAAGGAAAATTCGGACCAAATGAAGTAGAAATCGAGAGAGAGAGAGAGAGAGAGAGAGAGAGAGAGAGAGAGAAGGAGAATTGGATTTGTGTGGGGGAGGAATGAAGCTTGGGCAACTATTTATAGGCTGCTTAGGGCACTTTCATGCCGCACCCAAGACCATGCGCATCGCACATTGGCTTGGTCGCTACTCCTCCTCTAAGGGCTTGACACATGGCAAATTTCTACAGGGGCAACGTGGTTGGCTTGTAGAACGTCGTGCGCGAGGCGCACACGCGCGCAACGAATTTTAGAATTTCAAAATTGCACAACTTCTTCATATGGACTCCGTTTTTTTTCTTTATATCCAAGGAAAGCTCTCGACGAGACCTACGATTTTCATTTAGACTCAGTCGGCTAATTTTGACTTTATTTATTTTACACATACTTAGATTGTTAAAGCCCATATAAAATGCATAACTCTCTTATTTGGCGTCTGTTTTCGACTGTCTTTATATCACTAAACTCCTATTAACGAGATCTTCAATTCTCGTTTAGTTCATTTCGGCTAAAAATCGACCGATCTAAAATTCGATTTTTGAGTTGTATACTACTACGATGAATCTTAGAAAAATCATAACTTACTCTAATGAAATCAGATCTAGACATTATTTATATGTACACTCTCGGTTTAACGACTACTATGACTTTCTTTTAGATCACTAAGGCTAAAAAGTAATCTATAAATATCTCACCTTTTACGATACGCAGAGTCGAATCGGGTCGAATTGCGAAACTTCAAATGCTCATAACTTTCTTCGTTATGATACAGATTGGATCATTCCTTATATCTGTAGAATCCTTGTTACGACTACTTTAACTTTCGTCAAGGATATTCGGCCTAGGGGTGAGCATTTGGACCGAACCGGACCGGACCGGCTCTTGGACCAGACCGGTTATGGAGAATATTGTGGACCGTGGACCGGACCGGATGAGTTGTGTCCGTGTCTGGGTCCGGGTCCAGGTCCGGGTTTTCCGGTTCTTGGACCCGTTTGGACCGGTACAACTTTAATTGCATAGAGTACAAGTCGTTAAAATAAGTTTTTGGGTTTGATAGAACTCGTTAAAACGAATATGTTATTGGGTTTGATACGATACAACTTGTAAAAATGATTACGTTTCCGTTTCATGCATAACTAATCTACCTTGCTGTTAGAATATTATAACTTGCAAAATTAATTTTCCAAATAAAAGCTACTAACATATAAATCAAGTTCACCATGATCCCTTTCATATGATTTATCTTTCAAAGATACATAAAATTCATAATTATAGTCTAAAATAATCGTTAAAAAGTTGAAATATTTCAGCTTTGATAGCTTAACTTCGAAGGATTGTAACTCACTGAATATAATACCAAAATCAACAAAATTAAAGTCTAAATTCATCTACAAATTGTAAACTAAATGTTGGAAAAAACCGTAGGTCAATCCGAATTAAAACAAATGAGTTATGATTGTTTAAAAAATTTCACAGATTACAAAATTTTAAAAATCTTGCTGAAAAACTGAAATTTTTCAGCTTTGATAGCTCAACTTTGAAAGACTGTAACTCATTGAATATAATACCAAAATCAACAAAATTATAGTCTAAGTTCATCTACAAATTGTAAATTAAACGTTGGAAAAAACCGCGTGTCAATCCGACTAAAAACGAATGAGTTATGGTTGTTTAAATTTTTCACAGATTACAAAGTTTGAAAAAATGTTGCTGAAAAGCTAAAAATTTTCAGCTTTGATAGCTCAACTTTGAAAGACTGTAACTCATTGAATATATAATACCAAAATTAACAAAATTATAGTCTAAATTCATCTACAAACTGTAAATTAACGTTCGAAAAAACCGCGTGTCAATCTGACTTAAAACGAATGAGTTATGGTTGTTTAAAAAAATTCACAGATTACAATTTTTTTTCTAAATCGGGTCCAACCGGTTCTAAACCCGGTAAAAAACAGACCGGACCGGGAAAAAAACCGGACCGGTTTTGATGGATTCCTAGAACCGAGAACCGACCCGGGTGTCCAAAACAACGATCCGGTCGGGTCGGGTCGGGTCCGGTCCGGTCCACCGGTCCAAATGCTCACCCCTAATTCGGCCTAATTATTATTCTATTAAACATGTATTTTATTATATTATAATAATCACATAATATATACACGAAATACATAATATTCACATAATCATCCTCTATTACATCAAATAGGTTATAATTATTGACCCTAACTATTACATCATCTTATTAATGCCTAGCGGGAAATGCGGATGTTACTGTCCCTATTTTCAAAAATTAACTCGCACCGCCGTTAAAACGTAAAAAGTTGCACACTTAGTCTCTAACGTCATAAAATGACTATATTGTCCTTTTTAATTTTTTTTCAATTATTTTTAATGTTTATGATTAATTTAATTATTAAAAAATATTTTAATACTTTTTGTTTATTTATTATTAATTAATGTTTTAAAAAATAATAATTGCCCCCACCATTTACATCCCTAACCCCTCTTAATTATTACTTTAATTGAACAAAAACCTGGAGTTAAAGACCCCATCTCCCTTCTCTCAATCAGAAATAACCACCCACCACCTCTTTACCGGAAACCACCGTTCACCGCCCATAGTTCGCGAACCACTCCTACCCACAGGAAAACTCTCTCTCTCTCTCTCTCTCTCTCTCTCTCTCTCTCTCTCTCTCTCAAACAACTAACACAACCACTAGATATGTCAAAAGTGTAATCACCGACGACCACCACAATAATCAAACCGGTTAACATGTCGTTAGAGATTTGGACCACCGAAAAGTAGTACCTATATTTTATCCCTCTTTTCGCCTGTTTTTGTCCATCTCTTCATCAGATCTATACAACCACCACCTCAGATCTAAGGTTTTACCGGGTGAAGAACATATATGTTGGTTTGAAAGGCTGAAGAACAAATCTGATGGTTTTAACGGCGCTAGTGTTTCAGGTGATGTTATGGTTTTTAGATGGTGATGATGGCGCTAGTGTTTTAGGAAAAGATTAGCGGAGACTAGTAGGAGAGAAACCATTAGTGTTGATACTATTTCCGACGATGGTCCACATCTCCGATGGAGGTGTACGTGTCGGACATGAACAAAGGAAGTGTAATGAAGCGGTGGTCAGTTGCAACAATTAAAAGGGTTACCCGTGGTGGTGGTGGTGTGTAGGTGCTCTTCAACACACAGAGAGAGAGAGAGATTATGTTTATATTTAAAAAGGGTTAAGTGACCTATAAATTTAATTAATTTTTTTTAATAATAAAAAATAATTAGAAATATAAAAAATAAATAAATAATAAATTGGAAAATGCATTATAGTCATTTCATGTCTGAGAAGGGATTGAGCATTCAAATTTAAAATAACGAGGGACGAAACATGCAATTTTAACCAAACGAGGGATGATCCGAGTTAATTTTAAAAATAGGGTCTGAACGTGGTTTTTGACACCTACACGAGAGACGATTCATGTAACTTACTCAAAAAATTGTTTCGGTTGAAACTTGATTGGTTAAATTGTATTAAATTTGATATGTGGGGACGTGTTTGTGTTTTGAAACTTGATTATTGACTATTATGTTTTTTTGGAAGCCAACGTAACTACATGTAAGTATTATGAATTACATCATGATTAGTTTTACCTTATTGATAATCGGTTCTTGTTTGGAAAAATAACCGAAAAAATTGAACCAACGTTAGAACTGACGGTCCAGTTATTATAATATCACAATATCGGTTTCGGTTCCAAATCGATCTGGTTCCAATATTCATCCTAAATATGGACCCATACCGTATAGTCATGATAGACCCATATGCCATATCGTATCGTATATCGTATATATTCTAATAAACAAAAGTTACGTGATATTCCATAAAAAATAAAAATACAAATCACACAAGACACGTGTCACAATCGTGCAACTCCTTGCCTACAACACTTCCCTTTATGGCTTTACTATTATGTTGCCAACCGATTCATCATTCATCCCCAAATTTACAAACGCAGGCATGAATCAAGAGGTCACCAATGGAGCCTCGAAATCCAAAAAGAATTCCAAAAAACCCGAATGTATGTACTTCTTTCTCTCAACTATACATCATACTTCGCAACTTCACTTTGATTTTCACATGCATTGCAATTCGTTATGCAAAACCCCTAAGATTTTTTTTTTTTTTTTTTTTCAAAACTTCATTACAGCATTCGTATAGTTTCCAGTGCTTTGTATAATTTTGTTTTCCAAGTGTTGTAATTGTTGTTTCCCCTCTGCTGATTTGGGGTTTATTTGTGTTCTGGAATTGAAGTGGTTACTGGTTTACTGCGCCAGTTATTGCCTAAGGGTTTGTGGGTTTTTCGTTTTAATTGGAGATCTTGATCTTATAATGCATACACAGTTTTCGACATGATTTCTTCGATCTCTGAAGAATTCCTCATCTCCTCGGGGTTTTCAGTTTTTTTTGGGGTTATTTACTCCTGGTTACATTCTGCTGTTAGTAAAATTCAACCGTTTTAGGGTTTATCTCAAAATCGCAGCGAGAATAAACACGAATTTATATGATCGAGAAGAGAACGAAGTGGTGAATACGTATATATAATTTCAATCACACCATTTACGCAATATACCTCGGTTGATTTCTTAACTAATGATAATCGATCGTTCCAGATTCTAGGTTTACACAGCAAGAACTTCCCGCCTGGAAACCAATCCTAACCCCAGGATGGGTGATCACATCGTTTCTAGCAATCGCCATGCTGTTCATCCCCATCGGTCTTGTCTCTCTGTTTGCATCAGAACGTGTAAGAATCAAACTTTTATGTGCTTATCAGTAGTGCTCTTACTTCTTATTCTATATCAACCTTCTTATTGTTATGCAGGTGGTGGAAATTGTGTATCGCTATGATCAAGATTGTGTCCCTGAAATTTATCGAGGCAATGTGACTTCATATATTCAAAACCCCCTCACTAACAAAACATGCATCAAGAATGTCACTGTTAGTCCACTCTTCTCATAGTATTCCACATGACTCACTTTTGATCAAAAGACATAAATACCCTCATCAGAAGAATATTCACTTTATCCACATGTATCTACAGGTACCAAAGAAAATGGAAGCCCCTATCTTTGTGTATTATCAGCTCGACAACTTCTATCAAAACCATCGTAGGTAAGTTAGTATTTTAATGGCTCAATACAGAAACTCAGGAGTGTTAAGTACTTAAGTTAACTATTTACGAAATTGCCCTTGATTATTTCTTTTCAGATATGTGAAAAGTAGAAGTGACAAACAACTACGTAGTGGAGAAGATGATTTTTCAACAAAAGGATGTGAGCCTGAAGCTAAATCGAGTAATGGGAAACCAATTGTTCCATGTGGATTAATTGCATGGAGTTTATTCAATGACACCTACAATTTACTAATGCAAGACAAAGTTTTAAACATTAACAAGAAGGGCATTGCATGGAAAAGTGACACAAAGGTCAAATTCGGGTCAAATGTGTATCCAAAAAATTTTCAATCCGGAGGTTTGATTGGTGGTGGAAAGCTCAACCAAAGCATACCTGTAAGTTGAAGTGTTTAACTTTCTTGAATTTATTTTTTTAGTAAAAATATTTTATTATATAATAATTGAGTGTATGTGATAGTTGAGTGAGCAAGAGGATCTAATAGTATGGATGAGGACTGCAGCATTGCCTACTTTTAGAAAGCTTTATGGGAAAATAAGTGTGGATCTTGAAGCTCATGAGACAATAACTGTTGTTTTGGAGAACAATTATAATACGTATAGTTTTCGGGGACAAAAGAAGCTTGTTTTATCAACAACAAGTTGGATTGGTGGAAAAAATGATTTTCTTGGAATTGCTTATCTTACAGTTGGTGGGATTTGCTTGTTCATGGCACTAAACTTCATCCTTCTCTATGTTTTTAAACCCCGGTGAGTTAGCTTACACGTTTGTTTGTTACACTGGACTGAACTGGACAACGTTTTTTGATGAGAAGGGCATTCTTGTCTTTTTGCGTAGACCATAAAGGGAGTTCTTTAATTCCTATCTATCATATCTTTTTTAGTGAGACAAAAGTTGTAATCTTTGACTATTTTTTTCATGCTAAATTCTTGTCTTTTTGTAGACAAGGGAGGGAGTTGTCACATCTCACTTTTTGATTGGGACAAAAAATTGCAATTTTTGTCTGTTTTTGGTAATACGGATGAGAAGGGTATTTTCGTCTTTTTCCAAGAGTGATTTGTTTTTCAAACTTTTTAAGTGACAAAAAGTTGCAACTTTTGACTATTTTTGATGATAAAGATGAGAAGGGCATTCTTGTCTTTTTCCACATATCAATAAACATAAAAAATTTCAATTTTTGAATATTTTGATGATAATTATGAGAACGCATTCTTGTCCTTTTCCTATCTATCTTTTTGGATTAGACAAAAAATTGCAATTTTTGATGATATTGATGAGAAGGGTATTCTCGTCTTTTTCTTTTGTTATGTCCTTTTATATGTGAAAGCAAATGGCTTATTGTTTTATTGTTGTGGTTGGTTATTCATGATGCAGGCCTCTTGGGGATCCATCCTACTTGTCATGGAATAGGAATTCAAGTAGGCATTGAATTAGGTGGTTTGTTTAACTTTTTTTTTTTTTTCCCTTTTTTAAAATATGTGGAGTTTATAGGTATTAACATGAAGTTGTGTTCATAGTTATGTTTCTATCTACCTTACCTTGAATCAATGAGATCAACTAATGTTGAATATAATGTTGGCAAAGAAAGTCGATAACACTTTAACATATATGATTGTTTTGTTTATCGTTTTAAGATAATCATTGAACTTGCTATAAATAAGTTTAATAAGCTTCTTTATGGACTTAAGAACATAAAGAAAGGTGAAACTTCTCATTTTTTAATCTAGGGAAAATTGTAAAAAAGTATTTACATATTGGCTTTATAATCGATTTAGTCCTTTATATATATATATATATATATATATATATATATATATATATATATATATATATTATTCAATTAAGTCCTAAAAACCGGTAATCGTATTCAATTTAACCATTTTACCCTCATTTAATTTTCAAAAAATACACTTTTGATCCAGATTTTAAATTTTATTATAAATTAGGTCTAAAAATTTACATTTTTAACCCATAATTTAAATTTTATTATAAATTTGGTAAAAAATTTACTGTTCTTGTCTAGATTTCAAAATTTTGTTATGAATTCATCATAACTTTAGTTTTTTAACAACTTTTTTTCTCAAAAAATATTTCGAATATGTTTTTTCTTTAAAAAAAATCATATTTATACAATAAAAAACATATTTTACTTAAAAAATCTTATTTTTTATATATAAAAACTTTTTTGTATACGAAATACCTATTTTTAGAAATAGGTATTTATTAAGTACATAAATATATACAAATTCGTTTTTATAAAAAAATGTATACAAACACATATTTTACAAAAAAAAAATCTATACAAACATCTATTTTATTATAAATATATTTGTATACAAACACATATTTATAAAAAAATGTATACAAACACCTATTTCATAGTAAACGTATGTGTGTGTGTGTATATATATATATATATAATATATATATATATTATATATATATATATATATATATATATATATATATATATAGGTAAGTTCAATTGAGAAAATAAAAAAGGTTGAGAATAGGGAAATCATTATCAGCCACTCATTTATTTTTGCCGCAAAAGTCTCCGTCGTACCAGCGGAAATGGGAAAGGAATAGACATGTGTTTTCCAACAAAACATGTTTAATTAAACTATGCTAATCATTACCTTAATATAATATAAAAACATAATTTTTTTCGTTTTTTTAATTTTTAAGAAGATATTTTTATCGAAAAATGATTTTAAATATACCAAAATTCATGATTTTTTATTCTCTACAAATAGACATCCATATTGATATAGTTTTAAGATAAAATAAAAAATTTATTTTTTTTATATTTTCAACTATCGTTATTCATAAGTGAATAAAAATGCATCATGTTTTTTACTACAGTACATTCGTTATTCACTTATGAATAAAAAATATGATTAATTTTTTTTTACAATTTAAGTATCATTCATATATGAATATAGCATATAATAAACATAATATATTCATATTTAAATATTAGACGATGCATTCACTTGTGAATATTATATAGTATATTCACTTGTGAATATTAGATGGTATATTCACTTATGAATATTAGATAATATTTTCATATCTGAATATTACATAGTATTACATGGCATATCACATGTGAATATTACATAGTATATTCACTTGTGAATATTAGATGATATATTCACTTATGAATATTACACAGTATATTCATATATGAATATTACAAGGTGTTTTCACAAATATATATAATTTTTATATGTTATTCACATATGAATAACATACAGACTTGCATATTTGTTTTTTTGTTTTAATAATCATATACTGATTCAGGTGAGAAAACATATTCATATATGAATATAACGTGGTAATGTAGTTTATGCATTTCATCAAACAGTTGGAGTGCATACAACTTAACTTTTGTAAAAATGTTAAAAACATGATACTTTGACTATTTAAATCTTACAAAATAGTAGATTGATAGAGAATTATATGAAATTTTTCAAAAAAAAAAAACGATTTGATCTTTTTCTAACCTCAATTTTGAAGTTTTATTTGATAATCGATGTTGAATGAATGATATGAAGTGGATTTTTTGTTGATTATCGATGATGTTGATCTAATGACGCTGGGAGTATAATTAATCGTAGATGTTGAAGATCTGATCGTATTCAAGCAGAATTGAAGGTTAGATTAAAAGAACCAAAAACGATTTTTTTTTGTTAACTGTTGAATCATGTTGATAAACATGTTATTGACGAAGATCGATGATTGATTAACACTAATGATGTTGATGATGGTTTAATTGAAGAAATATGGATGATTGTTGAAGCTTGGAGGAGATGTTTGGATGATGAACGATCGATTTGAAATGGGTTTGAACTGTTATCTATTTCTATACAGTTACGTATTTGAGATTGAAAGTTATTATCATATTTACAAGTTTGCCACCGTGTCTTTTTATGCTTAGATTAAATGATTGGCTGAGAATTATTCCCTCATTCTCAACCTTTTTTTTTCTCAATTGAACCCTCCTATATATATATATATATATATATATATATATATATATATATATATATATATATACACACACACACACACACACTAGCCTTTTACCCGCGTTAAACGATGAGTGCAAAAAGTTTCTTTCGGTATTATTTCTATTCGGTAACATGTATGATTGGGTATCCAACTTTGACACGAAGGTAATGAAAAAGTAAACCCCTAACAGTGAAATCTAATTTGCTTTGGAAGATGGTAACTTATAACTTGGAAATTAACACATTTTAATAAATTATTTTGGGTTTAAAACTAAAATATAACGTTGTGTGGGTTGAAAACAAAAGTTGTATGACAATAAATTTTGTTTTTAATTTGATGACGCACATTTTTTATCAGTGATCAAAATTCCTTTTGAATTTTGAATACGAGTTATTATTTTATGGTATTAATTCTTATATAACTATTATTTAGAGTATACATTTAAAATGATAATTTAATTGTCGATAATTTACTTCTCAAATGATGCTTTTTATCAAAAAAATGTTTGTATGTGTGTGTGTATAAAAAAAACTAAAGTTAGGATTAATTCATAACAAAATTCTGAAATTTGGGCTAAAATGGTAAATTTTGGACCAAATTCAAATTTATAATAAAATTTAAAAGCGGGGCTAAAAGTGTAAAATTTGGAGCAAATTTGTAAAAAAAAATTAAATCTAGACCAAATGTGTACTTTTTAAAAGTTGGATGACCTGTTGATCGGGTAAAATGGTCAAATTGAATAAAAAATATATATAAGGACTAAATCGATTATGAGGCCAATATGTAAAGATTTTTTTTTGTAGTTTTCCCTTTAATCTATGTAAGAGGAGTTGATCATAATTCATATATTATAATATGTTATTGTTGAACAATTTTCATTTAAATTATCTATTTATATAATCCTCAGCATACATATTGTAACACTTGTACCCTGGTATGTACCTTATGGCCCTTTTATTTTTGGAAACGTGCATTTTAGTCCCTGGAGTAGTACGTGGGGCGTACCACTTGGTACGCTTAGCTTACTAGCTGAAAAGCCCGTACGCGGGGCGTACCACTTGGTACGCTTAGCGTACTGAGTTGATGGTGAGTCGGGACCCCGATCACGTACGCTGGGGGTACGTGGACTTTAATGAAACCCTAATTAATGGTTTTGCACCCTATATAAACATCCTTATTCATTAGGGCTCGCCTCCTTACTAGCCTCTAAAGCCCCAAAACCCTAGAAACGAGTCTTTGCCTCCAATGTTGAGTGTTTGAGCCCTTGGAGAGAATTTTGTGTTCATTTTGTGCATTTTGAAGGAGTTAGAGAAGTTTGAAGTTGCTTAGCTTGGAGGAAAGGTCTTGGATCTAGAATCATCACCCTTTTTGCAAAGCTTTAGAGGTATAAAGTTCTCATCTTGACTTCTAGTTGTTTAGATCTCTTTTTGGGATGATTTGTCATGCTTTTAGCCATTGTTGGGTGGATTGTTGAGTTAGGACGTCCTAAGGACTTATCCTTTCAGATCTAGGTTTATTATGGGCTCCGTAAGCATAAAGGTGCCAACTTTACGGAGTATAGGGCCTCATGCATGCTTTAAGTAACTTATTAAGTCCTTGTTGAGCTTAAGAGCTTCATTTAGCCATGCATGGACGTAAAGTTAGCAACTTTATATGGTAATACAGCTCAAGGAAGTCAGATCTACATTCTGGAGTGAAGTCTTAAAAGGGTTAAGAGCTGAAATTAGAAGGTGGCTAAAACTGGAAGAGTACGTTGGGCGTACAAGCCTGTACGCGTAACATACAAGCCCTTGATCCAGTACGCTTAGCGTACAAGATGAGTACGCCCCGCGTACTCAGTCAGGTGGCTTTTTGATTTTGGGCTTTGAGTTTTGGCCATGTTTTGGGCTTAGAGGGTTGGGGTTTAGTTGGACCATCTGAATTTGGGAGTTTTGGGCTAGGAACATTATTGGGCCTTGGGTTAAGGCCCATGAGAAGGGATTGGGTCTAATTGGAAAATTGGGCCATAATTGGGCCTTGGTGGATTATTTGACTTTTGGGCCTTTTAGATTGTGGGATTGGGCCTTAGTCTTGGATCAATCTAGGTTAGGGGTAAAATGGTCTTTTTACCCCAAGTATGGATTTATGGTTATGGATTAGCCTCAAATGTTAATTGGATTTTATTTGATATTGATAGCTCGGGGGATTTGTAGGACCAGTAGCCAGGGATTTTCCGTTTGATTCAGTAGTGCGAGGTGAGTTCCTCACTGGGTTTAGCAGGTCGAAGGCACCAATGCCAGCCCATGATTTTACTATGTTAGTATGATAGCTATCTTTGTGACTCTTGCATGTGTTTTGTGCTTATATGCTTACCAGGCAGGGCCCGATGCCGGGCGGGGCCCGATGACCATTTTGTATGCTATGTATCTTTGTGATTATTGCATGTGTATGTGTTTATTTGATATATGTTATGTGTATGTTGGGCGGGGCCCAATCTGTTTACCGAGCGGGGATCGATGCTGGGCGGGGCCCGATGTCGGGCGAGGCCTGATGACGGGCGGGGTCCATTATGTGTTATCATGTATGGTATGTGGTATTTTTGGGAATTCACTAAAC